AATAAAATATGTAATTAAGGGCTATATATAGCATTTTCCTAAATCTAATGATCTTGTGACGAACATAAAATCCTCTCGATTTGCATGGCCAAAAATTACTCGGTTATGGTGTGCCAATGTTAATAATGGATTAAATAGGGTTAATAGGTTGGTTAAAGGATATTTAAAAAAAAAAAAAAAAGAGTAAAAAATAATGTTCATAAGTCCTTAATGAGTTAATGGTATATATTGCGAATGATTTGCCCAATTGGTGTTAATAAATAAATTAATTACTAAAATAGTGCTCACTTAAAAATATTTCTCAAAGTAGTGTTCATGTAGGTTCAGAAATTACGAAGCTATGAGTTAATATTGCTTTGTTTAAAAGTCTAAATTAAAAATTAGAGTCTCAAAACTAGTTCTCTTAGGTTTTATTATTTCACTATTGTTATACACTGCACGTTGATGGTAGATGCGATCGGGAAGGAAGCATAGTCAATCTCTGAAATCACTATAATCAGGTATGCTTTCCTTCTTTTCTAATTAAAATTCAATTGAAATTTCTGGGGGTTACATAACAATTAGATTAAACTTTAACGGAACAATGTAAATTGGTAAAATTTAACCTAATTATGAAAAATTATTTGTGAATATCGTCCGATTATACTCATATAAGCTTGGTGAATTAGACTTTGCAATTGTATATGTCAGACATGCACCACTTACAAGTGCTCAGAGTTCTAGGAGATTATTGGGTTAATCAGTATTCAATAGTAATTAGTTTTAAACTAATTGTTTCAATTTTTTTTGGATGAAAATCTTGATGGGTTTTAGAGTTATACTCATTTTAAGATTATTATGATGATGATGATGATGCTATTTTCAAGTATTGTGTTGGATTCTATGTAGTATAATTGAATGAATGTACGAGTGAGTTTTTCTTTAATCAATTTTATTTGTTCATGTGTTAAAACGTACTGTTGAATTTATTTGATGATTGTGCTAGTTTGATTTGATTTATTGAGTTCGGGAAGTAGCTAGTTTGATTTGATTTTTTTTTTATATGTATGCATATAGCAATAGTTTTTTACTCTAATTTGCAGGAAGATGTCATTTGAAAATCCATATACTATGTTGTTCACAAATGACCAATATTTTTTTGATCAAGTTACTAATGCTCATACATTAGAGGATGGTCATAATACTCAATATACATCTCTCACTTGTAATGATGTTGACGTCGAGGAGGGTGATAGAGAAGGTGATGATGCTAATGAGGAATTAAATATGGTGAACAAGGATGACATAGCTGCCGAAAGTGACGAAGATAAGCAGAGTGATGTTGTATATTCTAGTGCTCCAGTCCCTGAGTTTACACAAATTAACGAAATTGACGAACATGAAGTTAATAAGTGGGTGTCATGGGTTTCCATGACTTCTTACAAGTCAGGGGTTGAGTTTTGCATTGGTCAAGAATTTGCAAACAAAGATGCAATGACTGAGGCAGTGACAAGTTACTCTGTAAAAAGAAATCAATGTGTTTAAAGTGAGTGAATCAAGACCAACCACGATAACCTTTATTTGTGGTAGGAAACCTGTGAATTGTTCTTGGAAGTTAAGAGCTACACGCAAGACTTTAGTCTCCGATAAATTTACAATTGTCACATACAAGGGTCCTCATACTTCCACTTGTGTTAGTGACATTCTTCCAAAGGATCACTCTAACTTGAAGTCTAAGTTTATTTCTCATCATATACGCAACATTGTAGAGGTTGATACATCCGTCAAGGTTCGTGTTTTGATTGAGGTGGTGAAAAGCCTATTCAATTACAATATCTCGTACAAAAAAGTTTGGAGTGCAAAACAAATAGCTATAGCTGAAATATTTGGTGATTGGGAGGAGTCATATGAAGTTCTTCCACAATTCATGCAAGCTATGGTGGAGGCAAATCCCGGTACCATTGTCCACTTTGCCAATCGTGAAACCGCGGATCCTAACCTTCATATTTTCCAGAGAGTTTTCTGGGCTTTTGGTCCTTCAATAGAGGGATTTCAGCATTGTCGCCCTCTAATCACCATAGATGGGACTCATTTATATGGAAAATACAAGGGGACTCTCTTAATTGCAATGAGTGTTGATGCTAATAACCAGCTTTTTCCACTTGCTTTTGCCATTGTTGAATGTGAAGATGGAAATACTTGGCCATGGTTTATGGCATGTATAAGGAGATTTGTTACACAATGACCTGACTTGTGTGTTATTTCAGATAGACATGGTGGCATTATGAAAGCAATGAAGGAAGAAAACATCGGATGGAAGGATCCATATGCGTATCATAGATTTTGTATTCGTCACTTGGCCTCAAATGTTCATACCCAATTTAAGAACAAAGAGCTGAAGAAAATATTTGGTTGGACAACTTTCCAACATCAAAAGAAAAAGTTTGACTTGATTGCAAAAAATAGGTGAGATGAATGTAGAAGCTCGTCGATATTTAGGTAATGTTGATGCTAGTATGTGGTCTCTTTGCCATGATGGGGGTTTTAGATATGGGCTAAAATCATCAAACTTAGCTGAGGTCTTCAATAATGTTCTTAAGAGAGCTCGTTTTTTACCTATTACAGCACTAGTCAAATTGACATTCTTTCGAGTGAATACATATTTGGTACAAAGACGTGAATCATCCAAAAAAGGTTTCTTGATGGACATTTGTATAGCGATAAAACAACGAAGGACATAGAAGCAAATGATGCTAAAGCAGTTCATCATAAGGTTGAGATGTATCACCGAGACAATGGCATCTACCAAGTGACAACTGGACGTGGCAATAGAGAACAAAAAAAGAGTTCTTATACCCATACAGTCAACCTTAGTCACAAAACTTGCACATGTAACAAGCTTCATACATACAAAATTCCTTGTTCCCATGTTCTTGCAGTATGTAGGTCATATGGTCATATAGTTTGTCACCAGCTCAATTAGTTGACCCATTTTATTCAAGTGGTGAATATATGGGAACATATAGAGCAACTTTTAATCCTATCCCTGACAAAGACTATTGGACACATTATAAAGGACCAAAAGTTGTTGCCGATGCTAGTCTCAAGCGCAGTCCCGAACGACCTCCTTCCCAAAGATTACGAAATGAGATGGATGAAGGAATCGAGCAAAGGTGACATGTAGTGTTTGTCGACAAAAGGGACACAATAAAAAAACTTGTTCATCAAGGTTAGCTAATTTTTTAAGATAATTTTATTTCTTATATGTAAATATAGTTAGTCAAATGAAATTATTTTTCTTACTAACAATATTACATGTCTACTTTTTAACAGATCAAATGGAGCTTCCAACTCTACTTCTTGGCCAACGTGACTCTTCAAATTTTCATTTGAAGCATGAGCACACATCTGTATCTTGAGGGCTATTGGATCATCATCTCCAAATTCATAAAAAATGGTGCTAAATTGAGTTTTTTTTTATTTAGCTAGTATGACATGTTTTGAGTTATTTTGTAATAAAGTAATACCATCTCCAAATTGATATTGCATTGTAGAACTAGCAGTTGGTTTCAAGAATGGTGATTGAGTGCCCTTTGATAATTTAAATCCGTCTTAATAATGCATTATGTATTATGTTACATATACGTTTTTTTGACAAGGTTATATCCAAATCAAAAATGCTAAAATTTTTAAACATTTATATTACTTCGTATTCATAATCCATACTCTGGTCAAGATACCGTAAGCATTAAAAATAAAGAATTTGATGGTTTAAATATATGTATTTTTGGATTGTGTTAGCCATTAATTTTTAATTCCTAGCTTTGTAATTTCGGAACCTACATGAACACTACTTTAAGAAATATTTTTAAGTGAACATTATTTTAGTAATTTATTTATTTATTAACACCAATTGGGCAAATCATTCATATATTGGATTTTAGTAAAACTTAGGGGTATTATGACTTTATGAGTTACGTGATTCATCGCAAACTCACAATTGGTCAATTAGTTATATAGTGGTCGAGTACTCGAGTGCAAATGTGCAATTAACTAAATAAAGTACCTAGAATGTAGCACAGTGGTCAAGTGCAAATCGCTACTTTTTAATTTTTTTTCCTCTTTAACAAAAAATAAGAGCTATAAATATGACCTTTGCAGTAATACGGAGTAAATAATAATAATAATAATAATAATAATAAATAAATAAATAAATAAATAAATAAACCTTTTTTCGTATTCCACATCTAATACAGCAACATACACAAGCTAGAAGCCTAGAACCTTTCTCTCTATTGTGAATTGTGATTAACCTTACAAGTTACAACAAATCAACAGTCATAAGTTACTTTCAAAGCTTTAAAAGTTTACGGAGTAATTTTCATTATTTTTAGGCGGAGTCCAATTAATAATTTATGTTAAATCTAATTATGTGAACTAAAAATCTTATTATTTGCATGCTGATTAGAAAACTGCTCCATATTGATTTTTGGAATTATTCTACGGAGTAGCTCATAAAAATTCCAGGTTGAGGTAAAAAAAAATGGCAACATATTATCAAAATTACCTCAATTACGTGCTAAAAAGACCTATTTTGAATGTTAGAGTTAATCAAGGGTTAAATAGGCCCAATAAAGAATAAAAGAGAAATAGATGTAACATCCATTAGTCTTTAATGGTAAATGATGACGAAATTTGTAAATAGAAACATTTAGGAACAATTAAATTCCTAAAAAAAGAAAAAAATCTATGATAAAAAAATATTATACGAATGAGATTGCTCAATTTTAATGTCTACGTGAGTTGGGACAAGCGTTTTTAACTATTTATGAGTTACACGATGATCCCATATCGTCACAAACTTAGGGCCTGTTCTCATTGACTGTATACAACTGAACTGAAATGAAATGACTTGAATTGAAATGAATATTTTATAAGAGAAGGAAATTAGGAGCTGAATTAAACTGAACTGAACTGAATTTCAACATATGAGAATAAACCCTTACAATAAGACAAATAACACTTAACAAAGACAACAAAAGGTTAACTTTGTGCAATGTGAAGTTGAAATTGTAGCTTACAGGCTATTTGTATAAATAATTTTTGTTTCATTAAATGTTTGTTAATGAGCTTGTAGCTTAGTAGTGAAGTCCATATGTGCAATAAAGTACTCGTACGTGAAATTGTAATTACTAATTAGTCAACAGTTGTTTTATTTCCTTTAAAAAAAAAAAACCACTTGTTTTATTTTTTCTTCCTATAAATGTAAAGCCTTGCATTTGCACTCTTTACTCTGAAAAAGAAATCCTCTCTTTCTCCTCATTATTTCTTCTTACCTTACCATTCTCTGTCTAATTTTGCTCTGAAAAAAAAACCCTCTTCCTCCTCATTTCTTCGTCACCATAACTTCTGTAAACAAAACCTCTAAAAAAAAAAAAACACCTCTCCTCTTCACCGTAACTCGAAAAAGTTCACTCTAAAATAACCTTTATTTTATTTTGGTGACACAAAGGTTGAAATGTCTGAAAATCCACAAGGTAGTAGTGGTGAATCGAGTGATCAATTAGCACAATTCAGATCTGAGTTACGTAAAGGTTTTGAAGATGATCAAGTAGTTGAATTTTGGGGTGTTGATATTTTTGATGAAAGTTCTATCAAATCTGATTTTGTTTTGAATAAATTTCTAATTTTTTCTGATTCTAATTGTCAATTAGCTGTTCAAAATTTTTTAAAGACCATGGAATGGAGGGTGGAGAAAAATTTAACGGGGAATATGGTAGAGGGTTATTCCGGTATTGTTTTTAGTATTTTTCAAAAATCGAGTTGTTACATCGACTTTGATCAATTACTTAATGAAGCAAAAGCAACTCAACTTTCTATTCAACAAATTTGGTTTTCATGTTTTGAAAGAACTGTCCGTAAAATTTTAATTTCTTCTCAGGATTACCAGCCAAATTTGGTAATTGTAATTGATTTTTCAAAACAAAAGAAAAAAACTTTTAAGAAACAATTGTTGGATGCTATAGACGAAACCAAACTAAATTACCCAAACACTATTTTAGATGAGGTATATTCAAATTTTTTAAAAAATATAACTATAATTTTTTGGAATAAATTGTGTTTGTAGTCTTTGTACTGTTTTTCTAATTTTTTTTTTTGAATTTTTTTTTGTAAGGTTTACATTGGTGGAAGAGGTGATTGGTTAATCACTAACTGGAATGGGAAGGGCAAAAGTTTTACAACTACAAAGAATTCATACAAGCATTTGTTTAGGTATGTGTTTAAATTTAAATGATACGATGTACTAATTGAATTAAGCTAATAAAAGGGCCCTTATCTTCTTGGTTTTTTCACCGTTGAATTATATTTATCAGTTGATCCAATGATTTAGTATAATTTTACTACTCGTATTGTTTATTCAGCTTTTTAAAAATTAGATTAAGTTTGATAAATTTGTTAATTAGCTTGTTGCTTCGTTTTGCATGAAAAAAAAGAGTTACACCACTTCTAATTAGAATTACAAAGAAAAATATCTGTAAAGTGGGAATTTCCTATTACCAAAAAAAAAAAAAAACCTCTATACAAAAATAAAAATAAGTATTCTAATTTCAAAAGAATTTTGCAACCATGTACATCAGAAGCCATAGGCATATGAAATTACCGCGTAAGAAATATTTTTCTATACATTTTCTAGCAATTGCACAAATTTTATCAGATATGATTTTCTATTTCCTATGCCATGTAATCTATGCTCTTCCTTTGTTTTCAAGCACATGATGAGTTGTAATTCACAAATTAATGTAATCTAAGGCCCTATCTTTTTAACTAACGGGACTAAGTTTTTAAAGGTAATTTAATTTATTTTGGCCGGAAAATTGGGTTTAATACCCAAATGGTGAAAAAAAGTCTTAGTACCTAAACGGTGAAAAAAAAAACTAAAAAGAAAGGGCTTGTTTGTATAGTTAACTTAACTTCGAAAAAAAAAAAAAACTTAACTTCCATATTGTTAAAAAAAAATGACGTGGAAATTAGGAATAATTAATTTCTATGTCTAAAACATGATGAGGTAATTTGGAACAATTAATTTCTATGTTAAAAAGATATTCCGTATTCGGTTATTTTTTTATCTAAGTAACATCAAAGCATGCATATAAGTATTTGTTGTAGGTATATGTTTAAAATTTAATTAATACTCTGTATTATTTCGTGTTAAAAATTGATTTTTTAACTTAACTTCAATCTCGTTGAAAAAATGACGAGGAACTTAGGAACAATTAATTTCTATGTTAAAAAATTATGAGGAAATTCAGAATTAATATAACAATTAATTTTTATGTTAAAAAAATGACGAGGAAATTAGGATTAATTAATTTCTATATTAGGAACAATTAATTGATAGCTCATCTAAGTGAAATGCAATGTTGCGCTAGTTTGATAGTAATGTTATACTTTGGTGTTATTAGGGTGCTACATTACCCACAACTTGTTTACAATGAACAAGTGATTGGTGTCCATCAAAGCAATAGGGTGGAAGATCATCATTTTATTCCACATTCGGGAAATGTGGATGTGCCTCATGCCAAGATAAAAACCGTCCAAATTCAATGTACAATGGTAATTATACACCACTTACTTATACAATTATTGTTAAATTTGTAATTTAAATATATTATACATTAATATAATCTAATAAAATTTAAAATAACAATATATTTCAGAAGGTGTTTCGAGTACCGGAAGACGGTGTTATTAATTTAACCGTTGAGAATTCTAGTTTCTCAACGAAGAGATTAGTGTATACTTGTAACTTCATTCAAATTTGATGGATATTTTTTAAATATTTTGGTTGTAATTGCTGCAACTTTGTAGTAAAACGATTTTATTTGCTTTTTTTTTTTTTTTTGAATTATTTTTTTGATTTTATTTAATTAGATCAGATACAAGTATTACATTTTACAAGTTGGCTAAAGTAATCATAGCTTGACAGTATTGATTGTATGAGCTTAGCATGTATAGCCAATTGAATTAAGTAGGGAGATCAAAGGATTTTGCTTAGAATTGTCCGTGCTTTACATACTGCTTCAAGAGGCTGTGCTTTTGGCATATTAAGCCCTGTTCCTTCTGTCATATCTACTTCCTCATCACTAATCCTTTTCCAATAGTAACACTGAATCAGCGATCCTAAGGCCAAACTGATGATTCGATTACCTAATGTTGCCCCAGGGCAACCTCTCCTTCCTGTGCCAAAAGGCAACAACGTATACTGATCAAAATCCATATTCTGAAAACGCTCTGGCTTGAATTCTGTAGGCTCGTCCCACACATTAGGATCCCGATGAATGGCCCATGCATTGACCAATAACATGGTTCCACGCGGTACATCAAACCCGCCTATCTGACATTCCCGGGATGACATATGTGGCAGTAGAAGTGGGACTGCAGGGAACATCCGTAGAGTCTCTAATATGACATTTTGAAGATATGGTAATCTAGGAATATCCAACTCGTTTATCAAATTATCTTGTCCAACTTGACTATCTATTTCAGATTGAACCTTGTCCATAACATTGGGATTGTTAAGCAGTAGTGACATTGTCCACTCCATTGTTGCTGATGTAGTGTCTGTCCCTGCAACAAGCAAAACCTGCACACAAGAAGGGGATATGGATAAAAGCTAGGTTGAGTTTCAGAATCCTATAATTCTTGCTTCTATTAGATATTCTGGATAAACTAGATTAAGCTAAATTTTTTGGTGTTTAGAGAGTCACACAGGGCAGGGGTGAGAATCAATCCCAAGATCGATCTCCTAGAATCGGGAGGAAATCTTTAACAACTTGAGCTATCCCTCACTCTCACTAGATTAAGCTAAATGATAAAGATTTTCTGATTGAATTTAATGTGGTTCTGTTATCGGGAAATTTCTGGAATATACAATGATCCTATGAAGCTAATGAAGAACAAAGATTCACTATTGGAAGACTCATTCTCACTCTGCAGATCAGTTACATTGATCAAAAGGCAGCAGCAACACATGATATAATCTGCCGACAGTATTTGGCTACTACGCTCATAGGAAGTTGCAAGCCACATTAAAAAAAGTTTACTTTCCAATCAATCAGTAGAAAAAATGAACCATCACTATTTGTAGTATATGAACAGAAATTTAGTACTCCATTGTTTGGCATCTCAGTATAATTTCTAACTAACCAAACATAATATCTGAATTACTGACTTTCACACAGTACATGGTCACTAGTCAACATTAGTTTATCTAATGACAGACATGTTTCAAGCTGAATCAGTTAGCTTTAGTAAAATTGCAGTGAATCCTTAACTACGAGGGGCGGAGTCCTAGCCACAATGTAAATGATTTCGGACAGAGGGAGTAAATCGAAATAATTTATAAGAGTGACAGAAAATTACTTACCAATATAAGTCCTTTAATAGTTTCATCAGTGTAGTACTCAGGATCTGATTTCTGCAAAGAAAGCAGACGGCTTATCATAGTTTCTTCATCTTCTGTATTGGATAGCCCCTTTCTCTGCTCATCTATTAGACCTTGTAAGAAATCATCACTCTTTTTCGCCAACCCTTTGATCCTCTTTATATATCCACCATAATCAATCCATCTCATTACCGGTAGAAAATCTGCAGGGTTTGAAGCTGTAGCAACTTCAAGAACATCTCTAATTATATCAGTAAACCGCTTTGCCTCTTCAATATTCTTCACACCTTCACCAAAGTATCTTTTCCCAGCAAGCATTCTCAATAATACATTAAACACCAAATCTCGAAAGATCGATTTCATCTCCACCTTCCCATATCCTACACTCGAACATTTATAAATTTTACTAAGCATTTGCTTGACTTCATCGCTCCTGATCCCAACAGACTCTCTAAGGCAATTCGTCGAAAGTACTCCAAGTAAACAAATCTTCCGAAGGTTACGCCAATGATCACCATAAGGGGCAGTAACCAATGTGTTACCATTATAGGCAAGGTACTTTCCTGCAAGAAGTAAAGGTCGATCGGCCAAGATAATGTCGTTCTTGGAAAAACATTCTTCTACAGCAGATGGTGAAGTGATTATAACAACAAGGCGAACCCCAAATTTAAGAGAAATTATAGGCCCATATTTTTGTGAAATTTTTTGCAAAGATTGGTAAATTGGTTCTTTTAAAAGGTGTAGATGTCCTATAAATGGGAGACTTGGTGGACTTGGAGGAAGATTAATTGATCTTCTATTTTTTTGAAACAAGAGTTTGAAGATTAGTATGGTAAATAATGGTAATATACATACAAATGTGTATAACCATTTGTATTCCATTGATGTTATTTTTGAAGGTATGTAATAATGTCAACGCTATACAACAATACAAATAAAGTGATGAATTTTTGGCCTTTGAAAGTTTCAATGATTTTACCTGCTTTCTCTTCTTATTGGACTGAATTGATATAATACTATCCATTTGCATATATGGTCAAATATATGGAGTAACAATTAACATTAACAAACTAACAAAGGCTAAACAATAATAGAAAAGAGGTTGGGTGTTGCTTGGCAGTGGGACACACACTACCTTAGCTTAATGTTAGTTGTTGGCTGATGCAGCGCTATATGGTCCGCATAACAGTTATCGTAAACTTGCCGCCGCATGATCTACACGTGACTCGTGTAGATATAGTTTCTCCATTGTATTAGAATTATCCCATTTGATTATTCTTTATAAGAGCCATTTGGATTATATGGATCAATTTCAGTGAAATAAAAGGAGTAAAATTTAATATTGTATAATAATTATGGTGTCTAGATCAAATAAGTCTTGTCTGACCAAGGTTTTTTTATGTCTGTATGAGCTTATGAGTTATGAGACGATTTGTGAAATATATTTCTGATTGGAATGGATAGAACTAATAAAAAAATAAACAAATTTAGTAAAAATAAGTTTAGCCTTGGTATTCTCATAAATTCATAATCTCATCTAGTACATGTGAAAGATCAACCAAATCACAATAAGCCAAATGAATGAGAATTATGTAGATAAAAACAGATTCATTCAAAAAGGTTAATGAGATTTTGCAGGCTTATATATCTAGGAGAGGAAGTAAAAGAATTGAAATCAAAAGTTGTGTAGCTTAAAATAGAGACACTTAATAATGGAGACACAAACATAGGTAAGATTTGGAATTTGCAGGAGCAGAAGTATAAAGTATAATCTCAGGGTCAATTTAATTATGTTTGACCAATCATAGATTTGTGAACTTTGGTTGGTCGTATAGACGACAACTAGTAGATTATTAGGTGGTATTGAACTATTGATGAATGATGAACTTACCAATTATGACCGAGTTTCATCTAGTGCTGGGCTACTTTCTTTTCTTTGGGCTGGACTAATTGACGCTTTTTTTTTTGCTTTAGATTTTGTTTTTTTGTCCACAGTGGCCTTGGCCAAATTAACAACTAAACATGGATTGATGCACTTCTTTAAATTTGTTAATTTGAACGTGTATACAATTATACTATTTACATACTAAGGGTCTGTTTTGATTTACCGAAAACAATTAAAGTGAACTGAAGTGATTAAAGCATAAACTGAACTGAATTAGCAAAAGAAAAGTACTGAATTGAAATTAAGCTGAACAGAAGATGCACTACGTATATTCATTTGACGATTTTTTTTCCTATTTCATTAATTGTTAATAGAAGTGCAAATAGTTAAATAGGGTTGGCAGGAGAGAGATATAAAATAATTTTTATCAACAACAAAAATAAAAAAACAAGTATAACTTGTATGATTACACGAAGATGCCTTGAGGAACCATCACAGACTTATGCAACTACACTCCTTCAATCTCTCTCTCTCTCTCTCTTTTTTTTCTTTTTCAATCACAATTATATTCCAAGTATAGAATATTATTTTTGGACCAAATAATAAAGTATGTTTGAGATATGATTTTAGATTAATGTATCAACAATTGAAGAAAGTAAAAAGACCCAACTTACTCATTTAAAATTCTTAATCTTGATCTTGTTATGTACGATATTTCTAATAACTATTTCGTATTGATATATCAAAAGAACTATTCTAGAACTATTATTTGGAAAATAATATAAAATAATACAAGTACGTAATAATTAGTGCACATAACCAATTATGTTTGTATGACATTTCTAATAAAACATTAATTAAAAAAGTTGTAAGTACTCTATTATCGATATAGATTAGATTTTGTATTTTTTTATGAGCTTTTCAAAAGCTCAATTAAAGTACATATTAGTATATTACATACAAAGTATTATAAAGTGATTGTGATATTGGTTTAAATGGTCTAACAACCACATTAAAGTAGGATAAAACCCCACGAAAGTAGAAAGATGCATATAATAAAAAAACAATCAAATCTTAATGCATGCATAATGGCCGAACGCTTTAATTAAGCCACGAAACCTTAGAAAAAGGGTCTAGCCAAAAAGTTTAATACGTGAAGAAGAAAAATTGCATGTTTTGTACGGAAAAGGAAAAAAGCTAAACGTTACAACAAACCATGAATATCAAACAATTGGTAATTAGCAAAATGCATGTTAATAATGTCAAATGAGGAAGTTTACTGGAATTACATTTATAGCAAATTAACATCATTTTACATTTAGGTACTCATCAAAGACAACAATGAGAAAAATAACTAGAGAAATTAGATACTTGTATGAAAGCTAGTTACTAATGACCCGAACCTTCTCTACTAGGTCCAGAAGAAAATGTAAACATTCGACCTCTTGAAGTAGACCACGATCGAGCCTTCCGTTGAGCCGAGGTTGAAGGATTGACCACCACAACCTTAACCATAGGTTTAGATATTTCGACGACATTATTGCTCCGATTCCCAGTTTCCTTGTATGCTACAACCACGTCGATTGAGCTTGCAAATAACAACATTATTGCTATAACATAGGCAGTAGAAATAATGTTACTCTTGAAGTTATACTTCATCTCCGATCCCTAGCTTATTAGCAGAACTTTCTTGTTGTTAAAAAAGCTAGAAACAAGGTTTAGACATATTATAAGAATTAATCTTAAAGAGATTTATATAAGGGTTTTTGAATGTGGTTTTTTGGCTTTTTTTTACCAATCATACTTTATTTTTTTTACACATGGATATCCACTGTTTCCTTGGATTGGAACACAAGTTGTTCTTTATGTAATTTCATGCTTTTGCACCTTGCTGAAATGGCTGGACATAGGTCTGATATTGCACAATGATTTGTCTCCCATTTTAATCTTTGCTGTTAAGACTACCACACTAATTGCGACACCTAGTGCTAGTTATACCTCCAATTTTTGACAATAATGTCTGGATTTGTGAATTGTACGAGGCAAGTTCATATACAATTATCATGCAATTTTTTGACTTTATTGAGAAGTAACTTTTATATCGTGTAGAATAACTTTTAATGTCTCACAAACGATAAGGGATATAGTGTCACATAGAACTAACGTTCATCCTTTTTTTTTTTCTTTTTTTTTTTTCTCAGCTTTCTTTCTAATCTAAGTGAGCTTCATTATGTACTTCTTATGTTTTGCTCTAATTGAAATTGTGAATGTGGAAGATTGTTGTACCTTGCAAATTTTTCTAGGATTTAATTAATTCTAGCAAAGTTTATGATGATTATGATAATCATAGTAGTAGCTTATTAGTTTGTATTTAAAATCTATTTATGTTTATAAACTAATGTAATATGCAAGTAATTGTTTTGTCATATGAAAACTTATATCAAATTTATCAATAATGTCTACACACATAAAAACTGAAAAGTAAATATAATACGGAGTAACATACAACATAACATAATAGATCAGATAAAGTCGAATTTCTTACATTTATAGAAAATAAAGTCTAATGTCTTACATATTTTATTTGCTACATGCATTTTAGATTACTTATATTATTGAACACAAACTTTGAAAAGGAAATTGCAAAAGATATAAACTAGCACAAAATCGATCCTACACTTGTACTACACAAATTTGCCTCTAATTGCATTGATGAAATTCTCAATATTCATGTTGGAGGAACCACCACTTGATGTTGCTTTCTTAGCCGCCACCTTCCACTTAGTGGCTTGTTCCTTCATAGCTAACGCCCTTTGTCCTGTGGTCACCTCTACAATACACCTTTCAATCTCATCTCTCCCAAGCTCACCGTCCTTTATCTTCTTCATCCTTACGCCGACCTTAAACACATCTACAAGAAGTTTAGCATTTGTTGGTTGGTCGGTCCAATCGGGGTAAGCTATAACCGGAACACCTGCTGAGATAGTTTCTAATGTCGAGTTCCATCCACAATGAGTCAGAAAACACTTAATAGCCGGGTGCATTAACACTTTATCTTGACGACACCACGGAACTATTAGTCCTCTATCTTTGGTATTCTCTAGAAATCCTTTTGGAAGCTCTCCTGTTTTTCCTCCCCAACCATTTTCGCCTTCCTTCCTCACCCATAAAAATCGCCTATTGCTATCACTCTCTAAGGCCATTGCTAGTGCTTCTGTCTCGCTTTGTGACATGATGGATATACTCCCCAAAGCAATGTATATCACCGATGATGCACCTAGTAATTTTTCAAAGTTATATAAGCATATCCCCAACGTAAATAAGAGCCGACAACATAAAAAACATAACGTGATTAGTCACATTAAATTTTCTACATATCACGGTCCTAATCATATAAAATCAAAATCTAGCTTTATTTGTGCGAAGTATATATATATATACGGAGTAGTATAGTATCTGGATTTGGGGTGATCATATGAAATTGGTGTGATCAAGTCAACGTTTAAGAGTAGAGGGGAGGTAAGATAATCTCTTTATTACTTCCAAACAAATGTGGTTGGTGGGATTCAAACTCGTGTCCTCGAAGTCTCAAAGTTACAAAGTGAGTTTCCCGACAACTCCACCAAGTTTGTTTGGTTTTGTCCCGATGTATATACTTTTTGCAAATTCTTTTTGACACATAGGTTTGATAAAAGCCCCTCTTATCAATAATGAGGTTTGTTGCAACTAAATTGGGCAATGAGGCCATTTCATAAAACAAAAATAAGTGTCAACAAATAAATTAGGACTATAAGAGTTAAAAAATAAAATAAAATGGGGCAATAAAAAATTAACTGCATGATTGAAAAACACTACTCAGCTATATATCAATACCTTGCTTATCCAGCCAATCTAGGCACAAGTCGTTTTCTTCCTCACCCTCTAGCGCCTCTCCAACATTTAGCATGTACGGTGACACCAAAGGACCAATGGGCAGAATGGGTTTAAATTGCATCATGGAATGCACCAAAGTTTCTTCTATATCACAAAAAGAACTTCCAAATATCCATTGAAATCGATCAAGGATACTTATGGTTGTCATGACAACGTTTAGGAAATGGGGAGGGCTTGAGGGAAGGACAAAGGTTGGAAGGTCCTCTGCCTTAAGTAATGGTAATCCGGGTATTGTGAAAATATGATTTGGATCATTTAATGCAAATACTTGAGATAATTTTTGGTGAAAATAATGATAGTATATGCCATATGTTGCACAAGATTGAACCCATAACATGGCACAAGGAATGTTGTGCATCATTGCAACATTTGTAACCCATGGCACGAAACAATTGACAATGATGCACTCGAATTTTTTACCTTTGCCTTCAAGAGCATAAATGAGATTTGAAAGATTTTTCACCCCGTCCCTTGGAAGGTACTCTTCTAGCAGGATACCCAAATTCTTTTCACGATCAAGTTCAGCATCAAGGCCATCATCAAAAAACTCAAAATCGATGAAATCGCTTTGTTTGGCTAGCCCATTTAAAATTTGGTCTCGAGCATGGTTAGTTGTGGCTATGGTTACATGGATACCTCTTGATGTGAGGAGTTTGGCATAGCGAACCATGGGGTTTATGTGACCATGGTAGAACAAGGAAACCATTAAAACATGAGTATCATGGATATGCACCATTTTTTTCTCAAATAACAACATAAAACAACAATGAGAGGATTAAAGCAAGGTGGTTTAGTATAGAAGCAAGTTGGGGACTACTTGAAATTATATACTAGTAATGAAATTAGTGATCCTTTGCTTAGGAAAACATGTTAGGAAAAATACACCTTGCTTTGCATGTGAACTGAGTTAATAATCCATATAATTTTATTTAATCAGGGATATGTTACCTTATGTATAAATGAATAACAAGGGTAACATATCACATTTAATTCTAAGAGATTTGGTATTAAAGAATTATACCAAAATTATATATGCAGTAATTGGACGAAATAAATTACGTGTCCAAACTATAAAATCAAAATATCGTGTATCAAGACTATTAAGGTATCAAATAATAAATTTTGATAGGATTTTATGTAGGAAAAAAATTTGTACTTAATTACCATTTATATCTAAACCTCATAGCAACATATATCATATATGTCATAGTGTGGATTTAAACTTTCAAGTTATTTAAGATTGGATCAAATTTTGTCTAGTCATCTAGATCATTGTATCAGAAAAATATACCATAATATATGCATAATTTATTTCATTAATTTTGTAAAAAATTCATGACTTTGTTACAAGTTGTTAAGTCAGATAATTTTGTCACACCATAGTCTATACATATGTGGATAGTGCTAACATGAGTTACATATGTTGTCATGTTATGCTAACATGAGGTACATGATAATTGAACTAAAGGTCTAAAGGAAACAAATTGATTCAATTTCATAAATTATCCTCTAATATAATTGGAAATCAAAAGGATACATTTCCATAATCATTAATAAATAGAACCACTACACTTGGAGAGGATCACTTCTATAGGTCGTGTTGTTGTATCCTTGTCATTAAAGAGATAAAAAAAAATAAAGAATGGGGGATAGACTGATAGATTAAGTGGATATAACTTTATTTCTAATTTTAAGGGACCGTGAATTAATTTTCACTACCTGCTCTTGTGGCGGAAAATTTCTAAACGCGGAATTGGGCCGCGAGTTCGCAACAAAAATGAAAAATTAGAACATGAGCGCGGAGGTGGTCCACTGTATAATCCATATTTTGACTGCGTAGTACGAGTAACACTAAGCGAAACAACAGCAGTTAAAACTTAAAAAGGCGAGTGAGTGTTCGAGAGCGGGGAAAGCGAAGGAGGAGTAAGATGGGAAGCTCCAACACCGGCGGCAAGGACGATCCCGGCGTCAACGCCGCCGCAAGTGACACCTCTAACGGCGGTCTTGCGGATCCTAAGCCTAGCCTTTACGCCGAAGGCGAGAAGGTCCTCGCTTATCACGGTCCTCGCATCTACGAAGCCAAGGTTTTCTCTCTCTCTCCTCTTCCAATCTACGCCTATTTTCTACTGAAATTATGTTTTTATTAGTTATTGAATTCAGTGTAATTGTTTAAAATTAGTTTGTATATATGCTTAATTGAAGTTTCTGATGTGTTTGATTTAGGAGATAGAGAAGTTTGGATTTATTCGAATGTATTACTATTAAGATTTAGGTTTGATAATGAGCATTTTAGGTTTTAAGATGTTATGGAAATTTAGGAGAAATTTCGAAATTGACTTTGCGTTTGTTTAATTTTAGGATTTAGGAAAATTATAATTGGAATTAGAATTAGAATACGGAGTTTATCGGATTCTGACAATTGAGATAATTGAGGACAATTGTTATTGTAAACACCATCACGCTGATGTTATGGAAATTCAAATTATCGAAAAGTTGTTCACGTAATTTATAACTATAACCTGTTCACATAATTTCTATTTGTAGTCCATGTAATGGATAGTATTATGTCAAATGGCTGGACCTAGAGCTTGTGCTTTTTTTGCGCGATTAAAGTGTAAGTATGAACTACCAAATGGCCATTTTGGCTGAATGGTGGAAGTTTGAAGCGATATTTGGCTGTTGTGGTAACGAAGTATGGTTGGAATTTGGTCTTGTACTCATATTAAAGCTCTATTTGGCAGAGCTTGCAATAGAACGTGGTTGGAATGCTACTTTTTCTGTTCCTTTAATTTTAAAACGAAGGGGGATCATGCTTCCAAAAACACAATTTAGTCCTTAAGTATCTTGATAATATAATGGTGAAAACTATAAAATGTTAATATTGTAAAAGTATATGTTGAGATGAATCTAACAAAACTCTACATGATTATATTTTTCCATGTGTATAAATCAATATGTGGATAAAGATGAGTGTGTAAAAATTGTCAGAAGAGCAAATGTTGCAATTTAAGAAATGGAGGAAGTACAAAATTTGAAACTTAATAAAAATTTGCAAAGGTTTGTGCGATGGTGGCATTTACACTCTGGCTTGTAAACTGTAAAATATTGTACTCATTCCATATTCAATTAAAATCAGTAAAATATAAGTTTTAATCAATAAAATCGTTTTTACCAGTAAAAATCAATATAAATTGTGTAAATTATCTATAATCAATAAAAACTTGTATAAATTAAGTTTTATTCAATGTAGGGCCTTTGTCTTGGGTCTCGTGGTTTGTATATTTTTGACCCAAAGTTTATGAGCAAAGTGCTAAAGCTTATGGTTTGTTTCCTGTTGGATATGGAATGAACTACTGAAGATGTTCTAAAAAGGCAAGAGGTTCCCCAGGGTTGATTGAAAGTTAATCTTAGAAGTTGAATGCTATAATTGTTTCAATATTTTGTATCTAGAAATTCCATAGTGTTATCTGTTTAGCAAATTTACACTTGTAGCTCTGCTGTATGGCATATGGCTCAAGATTTATATTAAATATCTTTGACATGCTTGCGCTAATCTGTACAACTATGTGATCTTTTCAGATTCAAAAAGCCGAGATCCGTAAAAAAGAATGGCTTTATTTTGTTCATTACCTTGTAAGCTCTCAATTTTTTTACTTTTTCTTTATTGATTATGCGGTCTTGTGTTAGTAGAAACACCTTTTTACTTCAGCATTTTTGGACCTGGCATTGCCTTGAAATCTTTGCTAATTGATTTTTTTTTTCAAGCTGTTAATTTTGGTGTATTCTGAATATTCAGATATGACGGAATTACTGAATGATACTAGTATCTTTTCTCATTTGCAGGGTTGGAACAAAAAGTAAGTAACTCTCTTTGAAGCCTATTGGTCTTAAGGTTATGCTGTTTTTAATCCTGTATTCCCCTCGTCTCTGCATGACATTGCGTTTTGGAGTCAATATAAATGACTTCCTGCTGTGCTTGACTCACAAAGATGATAATCTAACATACTTAATGAGACTCTTAAGTGGTTCTAGTTCTGTATCTGTCAACATTTTTTGCTTTACAGTGTAGGCAATTAGTTACTGTAACTCTGTGATGTAATATCAATTTATAGACTTTGGCTCTGATCGAAGTCTAATCCCTTGAAAATTCGACAGTGGTCATGTTGTTGAACTGCATTTATTGTTCTGATCTGATACTTGTCTCATGAGTCATAACTCTGGTTCATACAAGGGAGTTAGATAATGATTTGTTGAATACTATACACTTATTTCCAAACAGTTGGGATGAATGGGTTGGCATGGATCGCCTGATGAAAATTACAGAAGAAAATCTCCAAAAGCAGCAGGCTTTGGAGAAGAAGCAAGGTGCTGACAAGCATCATAGGTCTGGACGTTCTGCACAGACAAAGCCAAAAGGCTCTACTGGTTAGCCACTTCCTACAAGTAAATATTGTTTTTTCTTGTGCAAAATGGTCGCATCTTTTTTTACATGCCTTTGTAATTTGTTGAATTTTCTTTTTGAAGTTGATCTTTGTTGATATATTTTAGTAAGAATTTCGTGAAAATCAGTCACATCCAAGAATTTGTTATGACAAGGTACAGATTGTTCTAGATTCCCCATGCAGTTTTGTTGGTTAAGTGTATCAACTAATGCTTTGCAATTCACTTATCTGCTATTGTTATTTATCCGCAATAACTTACGAGTTTTGAGATCATTGAAAATTCGTGATTCTAGTATTCAACCACCATTTTACTGGCAGCTTCTGTTGTTTCTATGAGGCTTAGGATATCTGTTGTTCAATCTTGCCACTGGATGTAGTGCATAGGAATATAGGATGGTGTACTTTGTGGTGCTGATTAGTGATAACAACACAAAGTAGTTTGATTAGGACCAACTGGAAGGTTGTGCGTACTGATTTTCTGCAATGGGTTTTTTGTACAATTGAATCTATTGACTGCTTGCTAGTATTCTTACTGTTGACTAATTTCTTTTAAGCTGTTAAGGGCAATTTTGGGGACCTACATGGTATAATTTGCAAAGTATTGTGCTTGACACATGCAATTTTGTGTTCTCAATCTGAAAAAGCTTATATTCTCACTGATTTCCTTGGTTTCTTGGTGTAGATGCAAAGGTAGATAAAGAAGACATCAAGAGCAATGGTAATGTTGGTAGCTTGCTTTAAATTATATTTTAATACTCTAGTTTGTTTATATATACTAAAAGGTTATTATTTTGTCCATCCAAAATAGTATTTACAGTATATATATATATATATATATATATATATATATATATATATATATATATATATATATATATATATTTGGTGATGGTTGTTTTTTTGGGGAGGGGAAGGAAGAGTGAGGTACATGAGGCTTTATACCTCTTTCCCCAAGAACAAATTCTTGTTGTCAATATTTGAAGGGCATGTTTCTATTATGAGCAGTTACTGCTATTGTTTACCTAGTACCTGCTTAAAATAAATTATGGAGTACAGAAGGCCTTTGCTTCTTAGTAGTCTAAGTCATTTATCTGTAATGAGCATTAATATTGCCCTGGCTTGGGTACAATATTTACTACAGTCCCTCTGCCCATTTCGTTTAACTAACTCTTTCATTTTCTGGGAACATTGATTTTGAATAGAGAAGACCTTTGCTTCGCAGTAGTCTAAGGCATTTGGCTTTAATGTGTACTAATATAACCCTGGCCTGGGGACAATATTCAACACCACTGCC